CGTATCCCCCCCCAGCCCCGCCGCCCCCCCCCGCGCATGCGCCGCAGCTCTCACCGCGCTCGCCGCTCATTGGCTGCCCCGCCGGCGCCGCTGGGTTGCCATTGGTCAGTCCTGCTGCCACTCCCCCCCAACTGAGCGGCTGAGGGGCGGGGCTTGGGCTTAAAGGGGCCGGGCGGGGCGTGGAAAGGGTGCACAGTGCGCGCTAATTGCGCGCTGCTAATTGCGTCGCGCTGATTGCGTGGTGCGCGTTGCGCGGTGCCCATTGGATGGTGCCCGTGTCACGGTGCCCATTGCACGGTGCTAATTGAGTAGAGCCCATTGCATGGAGCCCGTTGCATGGTGCTAATTGCGGGGTGCTAATTGAGTAGAGCCCATTGCATGGGGCCCACGTCAGTCCTGCTGCCACTCCCCCCCAACTGAGCGGCTGAGGGGCGGGGCTTGGGCTTAAAGGGGCCGGGCGGGGCGTGGAAAGGGTGCACAGTGCGCGCTAATTGCGCGCTGCTAATTGCGTCGCGCTGATTGCGTGGTGCGCGTTGCGCGGTGCCCATTGGATGGTGCCCGTGTCACGGTGCCCATTGCACGGTGCTAATTGAGTAGAGTCCATTGCATGGAGCCCGTTGCATGGTGCTAATTGCGGGGTGCTAATTGAGTAGAGCCCATTGCATGGGGCCCACTGCATGGTGCCCATTGCACGATGCTAATTGCATGGTGCTAATTGAATAGAGCCCATTGCATGGTGCTAATTGAGTAGAGCTCATTGCATGGTGCCCACTGCATGATGCCCCTTGCATGGAGCTAATTGAATGGTGCTAATTGAGTAGAGCCCATTGCATGGTGCCCACTGGATGGTGCCCATTGCACAGAGCTAATTGCACGGTGCTAATTGCATGGTGCCCACTGGATGGTGCCCATTGCACGGAGATAATTGCATGGTGCTAATTGACTAGAGCCCACTGTATGGTGCCCATTGCACAGAGCTAATTGCACGGTGCTAATTGAGTAGAGCCCACTGCATGGGGCCCATTGCACGGAGCTAATTGCACGGTGCTAATTGAGTAGAGCTCATTGCATGGTGCCCACTGGATGGTGCCCATTGCACAGAGCTAATTGCACGGTGCTAATTGCATGGTGCCCACTGGATGGTGCCCATTGCACGGAGCTAATTGCATGGTGCTAATTGAATAGAGCCCATTGCATGGTGCTAATTGAGTAGAGCTCATTGCATGGTGCCCACTGGATGGTGTCCATTGCACGATGCTAATTGCACGGTGTTGATTGACTAGAGCCCATTGGATGGTGCTAATTGCACAGTGCTAATTGAGTAGAGCTCATTGCATGGTGCCCACTGGATGGTGCCCATTGCACAGAGCTAATTGCACGGTCCTAATTGAGTAGAGCCCATTGCATGGTGCCCATTGCATGGTGCCCACTGGATGGTGCCCATTGCACGGTGCTAATTAAATAGAGCCCATTGCACGGTGTTCATTTCAAGGTGCTAATTGCATGGTCTTGATTGACTAGAGCCCATTGCATGGTGCCCACTGGACGGTGCCCATTGCACGGTGCTAATTGAGTAGAGCCCATTGCATGGAGCCCGTTGCATGGTGCTAATTGCGGGGTGCTAATTGAGTAGAGCCCATTGCATGGGGCCCACTGCATGGTGCCCATTGCACGATGCTAATTGCATGGTGCTAATTGAGTAGAGCTCATTGCACGGTGCCCACTGGATGGTGCCCATTGCACAGAGCTAATTGCACGATGCTAATTGAGTAGAGCCCACTGCATGATGCCCCTTGCACGGAGCTAATTGCATGGTGCTAATTGAGTAGAGCTCATTGCACGGTGCCCACTGGATGGTGCCCATTGCACGGTGCTAATTGAGTAGAGCCCACTGGATGGTGCCCATTGCACGGAGCTAATTGCACAGTGCTAATTGAGTAGAGCTCATTGCATGGTGCCCACTGGGTGGTGCCCATTGCACGATGCTAATTGCATGGTGCTAATTGAATAGAGCCCATTGCATGGTGCTAATTGAGTAGAGCTCATTGCATGGTGCCCACTGCATGATGCCCATTGCACAGAGCTAATTGCATGGTGCTAATTGAGTAGAGCTCATTGCATGGTGCCCACTGGATGGTGTCCATTGCACGATGCTAATTGCACGGTGTTGATTGACTAGAGCCCATTGGATGGTGCTAATTGCACAGTGCTAATTGAGTAGAGCTCATTGCATGGTGCCCACTGGATGGTGCCCATTGCACAGAGCTAATTGCACGGTCCTAATTGAGTAGAGCCCATTGCATGGTGCCCATTGCATGGAGCCCACTGGATGGTGCCCATTGCACGGTGCTAATTGCGGGGTGCTAATTGACTAGAGCCCATTGCACGGGGCCCATTGCAGGGAGCTAATTGCATGGTGCTAATTGACTAGAGCCCATTGCATGGTGCCCACTGGATGGTGCCCATTGCACGGAGATAATTGCATGGTGCTAATTGACTAGAGCCCACTGGATGGTGCCCATTGCACAGAGCTAATTGCACGATGCTAATTGAGTAGAGCCCACTGCATGATGCCCCTTGCACGGAGCTAATTGCATGGTGCTAATTGAGTAGAGCTCATTGCACGGTGCCCACTGGATGGTGCCCATTGCACGGTGCTAATTGAGTAGAGCCCACTGGATGGTGCCCATTGCACGGAGCTAATTGCACAGTGCTAATTGAGTAGAGCTCATTGCATGGTGCCCACTGGGTGGTGCCCATTGCACGGTGCTAATTGCATGGTGCTAATTGAATAGAGCCCATTGCATGGTGCTAATTGAGTAGAGCTCATTGCATGGTGCCCACTGCATGATGCCCATTGCACAGAGCTAATTGCATGGTGCTAATTGAGTAGAGCTAATTGCATGGTGCCCACTGGATGGTGCCCATTGCACGGAGCTAATTGCATGGTGCTAATTGAATAGAGCTAATTGCATGGTGCTAATTGAGTAGAGCTCATTGCATGGTGCCCACTGGATGGTGTCCATTGCACGATGCTAATTGCACGGTGTTGATTGACTAGAGCCCATTGGATGGTGCTAATTGCACAGTGCTAATTGAGTAGAGCTCATTGCATGGTGCCCACTGGATGGTGCCCATTGCACAGAGCTAATTGCACGGTCCTAATTGAGTAGAGCCCATTGCATGGTGCCCATTGCATGGTGCCCACTGGATGGTGCCCATTGCACGGTGCTAATTAAATAGAGCCCATTGCACGGTGTTCATTTCAAGGTGCTAATTGCATGGTCTTGATTGACTAGAGCCCATTGCATGGTGCCCACTGGATGGTGCCCATTGCACGGTGCTAATTGAGTAGAGCCCATTGCATGATGCCCATTGCATGGAGCTAATTGCATGGTGCTAATTGACTAGAGCCCATTGCATGGCGCCCGTTGGACGGTGCCCATTGCTCAGTGCTAATTGCGTGGTGCTAATTGTGCTGCTCCAGGCAGAACCAGGCTTTTCCCCAGTTCCCTGTGGGGCTGCCGGCACAGAGACCCCACCAAACTCATCTCACCAGTGGCCTCCACCACCATCCACCGAGGGCTGGGACCACCCCGTGCCACCCCCCCAGACCCCGTCCCCCCCAGGACCATCCTCATACTGGGGCGGGGGGATGAAGGCAGAGGCGGGCGCTGGTGCTGCCGGTGCCCCCCGGCAGGATGCAGACACTTTATTCCCTGCTCCCACCCCAAAAATCACCCCAGGGGGGGACGTGGGGGGGGACGTGACCCCAGCTCGCCCCGGTGCTAATTGACTAGAGCCCATTGCATGGCGCCCGTTGGACGGTGCCCATTGCTCAGTGCTAATTGCGTGGTGCTAATTGTGCTGCTCCAGGCAGAACCAGGCTTTTCCCCAGTTCCCTGTGGGGCTGCCGGCACAGAGACCCCACCAAACTCATCTCACCAGTGGCCTCCACCACCATCCACCGAGGGCTGGGACCACCCCGTGCCACCCCCCCAGACCCCGTCCCCCCCAGGACCATCCTCATACGGGGAGGGGGGATGAAGGCAGAGGCGGGCGCTGGTGCTGCCGGTGCCCCCCGGCAGGATGCAGACACTTTATTCCCTGCTCCCACCCCAAAAATCACCCCAGGGGGGGACGTGGGGGGGGACGTGACCCCAGCTCGCCCCCCCAGCCGTGATGGTGGCCACCAGGTGCATTGGGTGCTTTGTTGGGGCATCCTTCCATCCTACCGTGGCCACCTCACTTGCAGCCCCGCAGGATGCCCACCGCCTCCCGCACAGCGGAGAAGATCATGCCATCCAGCTGCAAGGGGGCAAAAAATGGGGTTGGGGGGGGGGTCAGAAATGTTCACCCCCCCTCCTGGCACCCCCCAAACCCATCCCCAACCCACCTGGGCACAGAGCTGGGGGTGGGTGACGTGGTCCCCTGGGCGAGCGACGTTCTCCGGGGAGAGGAACCGCTGCTCCACGCTGATGGTGCCCGTGAGGCTCTGCACCTACCCAGGGCACCGGGGCCTCAGTTTCCCCAGAGGGGGAGGTTTTTTGGCACAGAAGCCCCCCCCCGGGGGGTGAGGAGGAGGGAGGGGATGGGTGGAATTGAGTTGCCTACCTGGTGGGGAGCCCCAGCGGGGACCAGCACCGCATCCCCCAGGAACTGGAGGAGGGTCCAGCCGCTCACCCCCAACTCCTCCCGCAGCCGCCTCCGCAGTGAGATGTCCAAATAACGGCGGGGGGGCTCCTCTGCCCCCTCCTGCCTTTGGTCCTCGCACGCCTGGGGGAAGGGTTGGGGTGAGAGGAGATGATGGGGGTCATAGAGTCACAGATACGGGGTTGGGAGGGACCTCTGGAGATCACCCAGTCCAGGGCCACCCAGAGCAGGTCCCACAGGAACGTGTCCAGGGGGGGTTGGAATGTCTCCAGAGAAGGAGACCCCACCACCTCTCTGGGCAGCCTCTGCCAGGGCTCTGCCACCCTCACAGCAAAGAAGTTCCTCCTCATGTTGAGATGGAACTTCTGATGTTCAAGTTTAGTGCCCATTATCTCCTGTCCCTGGGCACCACTGAAAAAAGACCAGCCCCATCCTCCTGACACCCACCCTTTCAGTATTTAGAGGTGTTGATGAGAT